TGACCTTGGGAAGGTCAACTGACACCTCCTGTGCCCAAATCAATAATTTGTTTGAGGGGTTGTTGTTGTTTAGTTGCTAAGTTGTATCTGACTCTTTGCAATCCTAGGGACTGTAGCCCACCAAGCTCCTCTGTCCGTGGGATTTCCCAGGCAAGAATACTGGAGTGCATTGCCATTTCCTTCTCTAGGGATCTACCCAACCCAGGGATTGAATGCACATCTCCTGCATTGCAGGCAGATAGATTCTTTACCACTGATCCACCAAGGAGAGAGGAGGAGGCAGTAAAAATAGCACCCCTCACAAGGTTATTGTTGGAATTAAATATGATAATTTATGTAAAGAGTTTAATTACATGCATGTGAAAGCCCAGTAAGAGACAGTCCTCTTTATTACATACATGTGATGTATACATGACATGTTGATTGCTTGGGAACAGTAACCAAATAACTTAAGATCCATGTTGTCATCTCCCTCCTGCCTCCTTGGACTATGAGGTTGTTGAATTTGGTCTTGCACTTTCTGCTTTTACTCAAGGATACATTGGCAGTCTTGTCACATCTTGTCATCTTCTAGGTGGTTGCACATGAATTGTTTAGATATTTGTTCCACATCTTGCCTGGCACAAACTGAGTTGTTGGCTTTGTACCTGGAAGGTTACCTAATACTCTCAGTATTAGGGTTGTTTCCAACTTCACTCTGACACAGTGCTCAGAGATGCCTCAGTATTCACCCCATTGTGGTCCTTATGGATGGCTCCCCTCCTCTGTGATCCTAAATAACCCCTTCTGCTTTGGCTAAATAATCACGATTTCACAAGTGCCTTTGGGATGGAAGTCAGAGGTCAGCTAGTTATGAAACAGCATCTAAGAGACCTATTTCCTATCCTAATCATGTATGGCTTTTCATTCTTCCATCAAACAAAGCACCTTAATTGTATTATTCCAGTTTATCTTGACCTTGAACCCTTGAGCTCCTCTTTTCTATCTACCTGGGTTGCCTTGGTAATCTCATCCAGTCTCATGCTTTAAATATCTTCCATATGTTGGTGATTCTAAAACTATTTTCAGCCCAGACATCTCTCCTGAACCCTAGGCTTGTGTATTTTGTTTAGCCTTTGTCTCCATTTGGATGGTTAATAGGCGTTTTAAAACCAACATGCCCAAAATGAATCTAATATTTCCCATCAAATCAGCTCCTCTTGGCATCTTTCCAAGCTCAGTAAAAGGCAACTAAATGGTAAATATACATTTTCTAGTTGCCCAGACCAAAACCTTGGTGCTTGCTTTGACTCTTCATTTTCTCACTTTCTACATCCAATCTGTAGCAAGTCATATTGCTCGACCAATGAAATATATCCAGAACCTGACCTCATCTCACTACCTCTACTGTTCCACCTTAGTTCAAGCCATTATCATCTCTCACTTGGATTATTCCAGTAGCTTCCTAACTGGCCTCTTTATACTTGCTCTCCATCCTCCACAGCACAGTCTCCAAGCAGTAGCCAAGGTGAGCTTGTAAAAATATAAGGGGACTTCCCTGGTGGTCCAGTGGCTAAGACACCATGCTTCCAAGGCAGGGGGCCTGGGTTCAATTCCTGTTCAGGGAACATCACACATGCTGCAACTAAGATCAAAGATCCCAAGTGCTGCAACTAAGACTTGGTGCAGCCAAATAAATAAACAAATATTATACAAAAGAAGACAATAAAAACAATGCATGTCTCTTCTCAAAACCCTCCAGCGGCTTCCATGACAGCATACAGGTCAAAGTCCTTTCAATAGCTGTAGAGCCTTACATACTCTGCGTGCTTAGTCGCTTCACTTGTATCTGACTCTTTGCTGCTCTGTGGCCTGTAGTCCACCAGGCTCCTCTGTCCATGGAATTCTCCAGGCAAGATATTGAGGAGGGGTCCATGCCCTCCTCCAGGGGATCTTCCCGACCCAGGTATTGAACCCAGGTCTCCTGCATTGCAGGATTCTTTACCGCTGAGCCACCAGGGAAGCCAGCCCCCATCATTTCTCTTTTTCAGGGCTCTCTCTTGCTCACTCTGTTTCAGATCAGCCTCCTTGCTTTTCCTTAGACATGATCACATGCTTCCTCTTCAAGGCCTTTGCATTTGCTTTCCCATCATTTGGAATGCTCCAGGTGTTTGCATGGTCACTTCCATCAGTCCATCCCTGGTTACCTGTCCAAAACTGTAGCCCCCATCCCAACTCTACCCTCTCCTTATTTATCTCCTTAGCACTTATCACTACTACATTTATCTTCCTTCTTTTTTTAAAAGATTTTCTTGAAGTGAACCATTTTTTAAGTCTTTATTAAATTTATTACATATTACTTCTGTTGTGGGCTCTTGGTTTTCTGGCCATGAAGCATGTGGGATCTTAGCTCCCCAACCAGGGATTGAATCCACACTCCCTGCGTTGGAAGGTGAAGTCTTAATCACTGGACTGCCAAGAAAATCCCCTGCATTTATTGTCTTTTCAGCCATTTCCTCTGCTCCATGGAGGCAGGAATATTTTTGTTTTGTCTGCTAGATCCCTCAGTGTTTGAACCAGAGTAGGCATTGGGTATTTGTTGAGTGACCTGCTCTAAGAGCACTGTATTCATTAACCCATTTAATTCCCACAGCAACATCATGAGCCCCTGTTTTGTACACGAGGGAATTGAGGCACAGAGAGGTTAAGTAACTAGCCCAATATCACACAGCTGGCAGTGACCGAGCTGATATTTGTCTCCAGGCAGTCTGTGTTTCATGAGGCTCCACTGCCGGGGTGTGGTGTGTGGTTTTCTGTCCCTGTGGCTGGGAGCCGTCATGCTCCAACGAGCCAGCACAGGTTGGTCATTATCTTCACTCAGGCTACGATAACAGAATACCATAGATTGGGTGTCTTAAACAACAGAAATTTACTCTCTCATGATTCTGGAGGCTAGAAGTCTGAGATCAGGGCGCCAGCTCAGTCATGTTCTGATGAGAGTTCTCTCTGTGGCTTGCCAATGACCACCTTCTTGCTGGGTGCTCACGAGGCCTTCCCCCAGTGCACGCACCTGGAGAGAGAAAGACAGCCTCTCTTCCTCTTCTTATAAAGCTACCAATCCCCTTAGCCTAGGACCCCATCCTTATGACCTCATTTACCCTTAACTAACTCTTTAAAGTCCTGTCTCCAACTATAGTCACAGTAAAGGTTAGGAGTTCAACATGAATTTGGGGGTACACCATCCAGTCCATAGCAGTCATTCTCTGGGTTGAGCAGCCTGAAGTCCAGGAAAGAGGATTCTTATAATCAGGCAGTGACTGTTCTGTTTCACTTGGTTTCATAACAATAATTAGTGGGAGGCTCCTATTCGCCTTGAAACTGGTTGGGGACAGTGTAAAGGAGTCTCAGTGGATATTGGCTCATTACTACAGTTTACAATGCACCAGGCCTGGGCTAAGTGTTTTCCACACTTTGCTTTAGTCATCTCAACAAGCCTGTGTGATAGACGCTGTTCTTATCCCCATTTTGTGAGTGGGAAAACTGAGGCACAGAGATGTTAACTACCCTGCCTTAGGTCACATAGCTGGCAAGTGTCAGAACCAAGCTGTGGACCCAGGTCCATCTGACTTCAAAGCCAAGGCTCTTTAGTTCAAGACTTGTTTGTTTTGGAAAATAATAAGTTATAAGACTACAGCTTCCTTTCAAATATATTTCTTATTGTAATATCTGCCTTAAATCAAACACATATTTTCTTTAAAAAGCAATTTCTTATTTGTCAGTTTCAAGTCTGCATTTATTAGTTATGAAAGAGAATTGGGTCAGGATAACTGGACTTAAATGTGTTTTTCTCTGAAATGCAACACTTGCTAAAAGGTTACCCCAAATTAGGAGAAGATCAGGGTAACATAGCAGACAGAACTTGCACCAGTTAAGATCTGGGTGGTCTATGGCTCTAGTGTGACCTTGGAGTAGTCACACACTCACTCATGTATGCACGCATGCGCGCGCGCGCACACACACACACACACACCCCTGGGCTTCCACTTTCCCATGATGAAATGAAGGGCCTGGAAGAGCTGACCTTTGATGTCCCACTCCATGCTCCAGGTCCCAGAAGCCCTGCTGGAGTCAGGTGGGATGTCAAGGTCTTTCCGAAGCTGAGAGTGTAGGGGGCAGGAGGATGGTCCTCTCATTGGTTCTGCTGCTCTGAGGTGGGTGGCGGTGTGGAAGGGGCAATCAGAGAGTCAGCCAAAGGAAGGAGTGAGAGACTTGTCTGTTCTCCCCTGGGTGCACAGGCCCAGGGGCAGAAGTTGGGAGGGGGAGAGGTGAGACTTGCAGTCCCAGTAACTTATGCTTCTATTCTGGAAGAAGTGAAGCCTGTCCACTATGCACCAATGCTGATTAGAGAATTACCCGAATCACTGCTCCTGCTTTCCTTACATTCCCTGCCAGAGGTTGTCCTCAAATGACCATATGTGCGATGTACATTGTTGTTTAGTCACTCAGTCATGTCCAATTCTTTGTCACCCTAGGGACTGTAGCACGCCAGGATCCTCTCTCCATGGGATTCTCCAGGTAAGAATACTGGAATGGGTTGCCATTTCCTTCTCCAGGAGATTTTCCTGACCCAGGGATGGAACCCACATCTCCTGCATTGACAGGTGGAATTCTTTACCACTGAGCCATCTGGGAAGCCATCTGCAATGTATGAATCCTTCAAACTCCTCCCCATCATTACCTGTGATCCTTACGCCTAGCCCAAGAGTGACAAACTGCTGGCTTTGATCTACACCCCAGAAGCTACCAGCCTTTAACCAGGCTGGCACCCACATACTTGGGACCTGTCCTCCAGCCACCAGCCCCAGGGGCTCTGGCTACCCTTGGTCTCTCAATATGTGCACCATGCCTTCAGCAATCCTTTCTTAGCTCCCTCAGCCCATCTGCTGACCTGGTCCTTGAGCTGCAGTGATGCTTATCTGGACTCTCCTCTAATTTAAAGACGCAGTCAAAGAAGACAAACATAAAAGCACTTGCTTTTAATGGCTCACACTTTCCTTTGAGAAGCAGGAAGTGTCCTGTGCCCTCTTCAGACCCCAGGCTGGAAAGAATGTGAAAGTGGGAAGGAGGCTGGGGCCCCCTGGCCTGCTTGCTGTGGGTACTGACTCATGTCCTTCTGCACTGAGGACAGCCCTCAGCTTCCTGGGGACAAGGAATGGTGGCCCCAGTGGGCAAATCTGCCATAAAGCCATTTTCCAGGGTTGAAACGCACCTGGGCTGGCCTGGGGAGCTGGCCACCCTCCTACCTCTGCCAACTCAGGTCACAGAAAAGGCAGCCGAGCTGTCTCGTATGTTCAGATCACAGACCTGTGCTGGGGTCGGCAGAGCAGGAGAGCCCCCTGGCCTGGGGCAGCTTCTTAGGCAGAGGGGGAGAATGGGGGACCTAGGAAGAGGCTGAGGAGGGGGCAGGGTGTGACCTAGGGCAAAGCAACTGGTAGGCGAAGAGAGCAGCTTGGAGTGGAAGGGCCTCCGGTTCCCTCCCTTGGCAGCTCTGGCTGGATGGGCCTTTCCAAGCTTTTTTGTCCAACTATGGGGGTAAGGGTACAGGGAACCACAGCTGCCCACTTGCCTGGCTGAATTTAGCCCACATCTCAGGGGCCTGGGCCCAGGGTGGCCAGATTAAATGTTTGGTGTCAGTGCAATAAACAGTGAATGATTTTTTTAGAATAGTACAGACTAAATATACCTTATGCAATACTTACTAAAAAATGATCCTTTGTTTATCTGAAATTCAGATTGAGCTGGATGCCCTTCATTTTGATCAGTGAGATTGGAGAGATCTATCTGGACCCCAAAATGAGCTCTCATGGGTCTGCTTCTCTTGGACAGTCTTGGCAGCAGGCTTCAGTGCGAACTCCCTTCGATTATGTTAAGTTCTCACAGAGCAGAGGAAGGAGGCTGGCTCTGCAGTGGGACTCCAAGACCTTTCTGCCCCTGAAATGCTTTATCCATCTGGCAGGTGGTAGCCTGAAAATTCGTTATCAGTCTTTGGCAATTAATAAAAAGTAGCAGGAAGCCGAGTGGACTGGAAGAAAGAAGCTCTGAACAGGAATTTGGCTGCAATTGATAACCTGGTGGGAAGAGTGTAACCTCCCCACCTGTGCCCTCCCTCACTTATTGAGTGGACATAAGAAGACCCATTTCATAAGCTTCAATGTAAAAGGAGAAAGATCTAATGCACTCATAGGCCATTTGGCACATAGGAAGTGCTTAATACATATTGGTGTTGCTTAGCTGCCAAGTCGTGTCCAACTTTTTGTGACTCTATGGACTGTAGCCCACCAGGCTCCTCTGTCCATGGGATACTCCGGGCAAGAATACTGGCGTGGGTTGCCATTTCCTTCTCCAGGGGATCTGCCCAACCCAGGGATGAAACCCACGTCTCCTGCGTTAGCAGGCAGGTTCTTTACTACTGAGCAACCAGGGAAGCCCTTAATATATATTAGTTGATATATATATTATATATAATATATATAATATATAAATATTATATTAGTGAATTTTAGTGCAAAGAGAAGAAGCTATAGAGAACATGGAAGGCCCTAGGGAGGGAAGGAACCCACCAAGAGGAAGATGGAGCAGAAGGAGAAGGCAGCCTCTGGGAATGGCTCTGCCTCTCAGTCCTTGTCTTGCTGCGGCTGTTCTGGCAGCCCTAGGAGGGCTCTGCGTTCACTCCACCTCCTGTTGTCTAGAAGCCAGGCCACCAGGTGTGAGGGGGAGATTGGGAACAGGCAGACTAGTGTGGGACAGAGAGATGGAGGGACTGGAGAACTGGGCGGTACGGGGTTGGTGGGGGGAGTGGCAGAGAGCTCAGGAACATCAGGACTTGGCCGTGATACCTGTGGGGCTAGGAGGAAGGAGACAGGAAGGCTGTAGGCAATCATGGCCACCAGGAAGATGGAAAGAACCATTATCTCTTAGTATATATATGAGTGTCAGTACAGGAGGACTACATTATGCGCCACATGAAGCCCTTTAAAGCTTGAGGCACAAGGCAGGGTCCCCTCTTGGCTGGACCTAATGTGATGCTGTCCTCTAATACAGGGATTATTAACCTGGGGTCAATGGACTTACTGAAATTATATGAAAAATCTTGTTGTCCTGTATATGTCTATTTTGGGGGGAACAGGTTTATAGTTTTCATCAGATGCCCAAGGTGATCCAGAAAATCCAAGTACCACCACTGTAAACCACTCTGTTTACTCTTATGAGCAAAATTGGTCCTTTCTGGGTCTTTTCCATGTCTTTCCAGGATGTGTGCATGCATGCTAAGTTGCTCAGTCCTGTCTGACTCTTTGTGACTCCATTAACTGTAGCCCGCGAGGCTTCTCTGTCCATGGGGTTTCTCCAGCAAGAATACTGGAGTGGGTTGGCATGCTCTCCTCCAGGGGATCTTCCCAACCCTGGGATCACACCCACATCTCTCACCCTCTCCTGCACTGGCCGGCAGGTTCTTTAAAGGCTTCCTTGGTGCTTCAGACAGCAAAGAATTCAAGGATGCAGAGGCTGCTTTGTCTCTAGGTGTGTTTCCTCCCCTCCATTCCCCACCCCCACTCCCCAGCTGGCCTCTGTCTACACAGTGAGCCTTTGCAATGATTATTCTGGGGTGTGGTGGGGGCCATGTGAATTTACTGAATGTCTAGCTTTGGCTATGGGGAAAAGGACCCCTTGAGGGAGGAGGGAAGAGCTGTTGCTTTCTCTTTCTAGCAAGAAGATGTTCAAAGGTGTTTTTCTGGTCTCTAAGCTCACTTGTCAAGCAAAACTCAGGACAGGAGCCAGATGGGAGATGGCAAATTTGGACCTGGCCATCATCATCCAGGCCCCACCTGCCTGGTGTGCCTGACAGGTGAGCCTAAGACATGATCTCCTTGGGAGGGGATCCGGAAGACAGAGGAAACAACAGCAGTTCTCACCATATGCTTTGTATTTTCCAAGAAATTAAGCAGAGTTCCTTCCTCCCAGTGAATTTCCTTAACGAGGATATTTTAAAGCCTTGGAAAACATTCTTGTCCTACTTTAATCGTATAAAGACTGTCGGTGCTGAGAGGGAAGGATGGAAGAAAGAGAAAGGGAGAGTGAGAGAGAGGGGTAGAATGAGTGAGTGAGGGACAGAGAGAGAGAAAATGAGAAGAAAGAGGGAGAAGGGAAAGGAGAGATAGAGGAGAAGAGGGGAGATGAGGAGGGAGGAGGAACAAGGAGGAGGGGGGAAGGAGGAGAGGGGAGGGAAAAGGAGGAGGGGGGAGGAGGAGGGAGGAGGGAGAAGGGGGAAGGAGGAGGAAAGCAAATAGAGAATGTCTTTAAGGAATTACAGAGCAGCTCTTTCCTTGAATGAATTCCTCTCCCATTTTCTTCTCTCCCCAGGGTGCTGCTACTCCGGCCGCCTCTCCAAGATGAATCACCTGAGGTCCAGGAAAGGAACCCTTTCACCCCAGGGTCATGCTCCCTCTGGTTCCAGCCCTCCTCTGTAGGGGGATTCTTTGGTGATGGGGCATCTTCCACAAGGCCCCTCATCTGAGGGGAGGGAGTAAGGCAGAGCAAAGCTCTGGAGGACGCAGAAGCTTGGACTGCGGAGTCCAGTGTGGGTAACTGTGCCCAGTTGGAAAGTCCATTGCTGAGAGATGCTAGTCATCTCTCTCAGATGAGATGAGATTTATCTCATCTCTCCTGCAGACCTCTCTCAGCTTTGTTTCCTCCCCTCCATTCCCCACCCCCACTCCCCAGCTGGCCTCTGTCTACACAGTGAGCCTTTGCAATGATTATTCTGGGGTGTGGTGGGGGCCATGTGAATTTACTGAATGTCTAGCTTTGGCTATGGGGAAAAGGACCCCTTGAGGGAGGAGGGAAGAGCTGTTGCTTTCTCTTTCTAGCAAGAAGATGTTCAAAGGTGTTTTTCTGGTCTCTAAGCTCACTTGTCAAGCAAAACTCAGGACAGGAGCCAGATGGGAGATGGCAAATTTGGACCTGGCCATCATCATCCAGGCCCCACCTGCCTGGTGTGCCTGACAGGTGAGCCTAAGACATGATCTCCTTGGGAGGGGATCCGGAAGACAGAGGAAACAACAGCAGTTCTCACCATATGCTTTGTATTTTCCAAGAAATTAAGCAGAGTTCCTTCCTCCCAGTGAATTTCCTTAACGAGGATATTTTAAAGCCTTGGAAAACATTCTTGTCCTACTTTAATCGTATAAAGACTGTCGGTGCTGAGAGGGAAGGATGGAAGAAAGAGAAAGGGAGAGTGAGAGAGAGGGGTAGAATGAGTGAGTGAGGGACAGAGAGAGAGAAAATGAGAAGAAAGAGGGAGAAGGGAAAGGAGAGATAGAGGAGAAGAGGGGAGATGAGGAGGGAGGAGGAACAAGGAGGAGGGGGGAAGGAGGAGAGGGGAGGGAAAAGGAGGAGGGGGGAGGAGGAGGGAGGAGGGAGAAGGGGGAAGGAGGAGGAAAGCAAATAGAGAATGTCTTTAAGGAATTACAGAGCAGCTCTTTCCTTGAATGAATTCCTCTCCCATTTTCTTCTCTCCCCAGGGTGCTGCTACTCCGGCCGCCTCTCCAAGATGAATCACCTGAGGTCCAGGAAAGGAACCCTTTCACCCCAGGGTCATGCTCCCTCTGGTTCCAGCCCTCCTCTGTAGGGGGATTCTTTGGTGATGGGGCATCTTCCACAGGGCCCCTCATCTGAGGGGAGGGAGTAAGGCAGAGCAAAGCTCTGGAGGACGCAGAAGCTTGGACTGCGGAGTCCAGTGTGGGTAACTGTGCCCAGTTGGAAAGTCCATTGCTGAGAGATGCTAGTCATCTCTCTCAGATGAGATGAGATTTATCTCATCTCTCCTGCAGACCTCTCTCAGCTCCACATCTTAGCTCTCTCCCCTACCCTGCCGTGACAACTCTCCAACCTCAGTATGTCTCCTCACCCCTGCCCAGAGCCAGAGCTGACCCCTGTCCCCAGGCTCCTTGTCAGTCCTGAGTCCAGGCCTCAGGGGTTGAGGAGCCTTCTCTGTCAGTGAGGCTGGCCTCCTCTTAGAGAGGAATGAAGAAGCACCAGCGGTGGAAGCAGAGGAGTCTTCTATGGGACTTCTATCTGCTTCTGAGATGGAGCCTGAATTCTTCCCCTGCTATTGCCCAGAAACCTCTGCTTCTGAGGAAGAAAGTCACCCTGTGGAAACTGAGGTAGCTACGAGCTATTCATTGTACCCTGGACACTCCCTGACGGCTTCTTTCTTTGGCTGGTGTGCAGGCAAAACTGGCCAGAAGACCTCCATTTCAGCCTCTGGTCAGCACTGACTGGACACCTCTCTGTCCTTCCAGACGAAAGCTTTCAGAAGTCCCTAGGTCACCCCCAGGAGGGAGTGTGTTCCTTTCCCCATGTGTCTTGCTGTCTCACTTTCCTTGGCTTTAGTGCCTCACAGGACAGATGGAGAACTGGGTCAGGGGAGAGCAGAAGGGAGGAAAACATTGGGAAAATCTACCAGACAGAGCTCTGAAAGGGCAGGGACCCTGCCCTAGTTAACTCTGGGGCCTCAGCACCCAGCACAGCAGCGGGCAGAGAAAGGACATATAGGAACTGTAGACAATGGAGTGAATGCCCGAGGCCTTGGTCTGCTTATCCGGAAAAAAAAAAAATCTCCAGGGCTCATCTAGCATCACCATTCTCTGATTTCACAGAAGAGAGTTGTTAGGAAGGGGAGTCTATTTGCCTAAAGTTCTGGGAGTAGATCTTGAAAATGAGCATGATCCTTCCCTGGGAAAGTGAGAGTTTGTTTATTCGTTCATTTGACAATGGTGTATGAAACATCTGATTTATTGGGCATCGTATGAGGTGCTGGGGTTACAGTTTATAGTCTAGTCAAGGGCACGTGTTTGACCAAATAATCTTATAGATGAGTAGTTTCAAACTGTGATCTGTATGTCAAAAGCAAAATTTAGGAGGCCTGACAAGGGTGAACAAGGAGAATAGGAGATCACCAGGCTAGTGTGAGGGTTCTTTTCTTGAGGAAGTGTTGTTTGAGAGAGGGGTTGAAGGGCAAGGAAGAGTCAAGTTGGAGAATGAGTCAGGTGAAAAAGAGAATTCCAGGCTGAGGGGTTTTCCCCTCAAACATCCACTCACAGTTGAAAAATGGTTGCTGAAGTTCCCAACATCACATCTAGTTGTGACTATATCCAGGAAAGAAGAGGGAGTGTCTGTTTCTGTATCTCTTTTAAAGTAACCTTTCTCAACCCCTCCCTAACTACCCACCCTCCCCAAACTTCCCTTCATGTTACTTGCCCAACACTGGTTCATATGATGCTACTTGAATAAATACTTGCCAAGAAAATGAGATGATCAGAACTGGTTGAGAAGAATCAAGATTACTATCACTATCTCTGAATAAGGGACCATTTAACAAAACTGGGGATCTCTTACTAAGAAATCAAGAGTGTGTTTTTTAAGAAGTTAAACCAAAGTATCTGCTAAATGAGCCAATTCCCAAAATTCTTCCACGGAGGAACAAAGACAAGGAAAAACCCCTTGGAGCCATCTTCTGAGAGGTAGGTAGGCTGCTCCAGGCTGGAGACCAAGACTCAGGGATCAATTGAGGCCTAAGGTCATTGAATCTTGGAACTGCACGCATGCATGCTAAGTCTCTTCAGTCTTATCTGACTCTTTGCGACCCTATGGACTGCAGCCCACCAGCTCCTTGGTCCATGGAGTTCTCCAGGCAAGAATACTGGAGTGGGTTGCCATTTCTTTCTCCAGGGGATCTTCCCAACTCAGGGATTGAACCAGCGTCTCTTATGTCTTCTGCATTGGCAGGTGGGTTCTTTACCACTAACACCACCAGAAGACCTGATGAACACCTAAAGCAGTGGTTATTAAATCCTGTTGGACAGCCAAGTAAACTGAAGAGGGTGTTTAAATACAAATTCTCAGACTCCACGGTGATCTCATAGATTGGAATTCCAGAAAGTGGGGAGTCTAGAAATCTGGATTATTAAAGAGGTCGCTAGGTGTTATGGATGCTGACAGTCTAGTATCTGGGAACCACAATGTAATAGTGAAGCCCAGAGAAGGGATTGATTTGACCATGGAGAGTTGGCTGACCTCCGCCTGGGGGTGAACTTCCTCAGAGGGCCGGTCTTTTGGGCACCCTTATGGTTAAGGGAAGGGAGCTGGGGAGGAGCAACAGGGCCAGAGCCCAGAGTACCCAGGGTCACTATTCCAGCAGGATAGGCACCTCTTTATCTGTGCTGGGCTGGGGGTGGGGAGCATGGAATGATGACCACCTCCTGTTAGCCTGAACCTTAACCTCACCACATTCAACCCTCCCAACAACTCTGGGGCCAAGGAATCATCATTTCCATTGCAGAGATCAGTAAACCGATGGTCAAAGAGGCTTCCGTCAGTTTAGGGCAAGCAGAAGAGGGGCTACTCTGCTGGGAAGCCTGTGCATCTTGGTCCCTCCACTGACTTTTCTTCTCAGCCGCCCTTTAGAGATAAACCAAGGCTCACGTTTTACCGGACTGGCAGGTCAGGCTGAGGTGGCTGCCCGGCAGGCGTCTGTGTCCTCCTGGAACAGCCCAGGGGGGAGAAGGGGCAGACTTCTGGGCTGTCCCGCCCCCGAGGCAACTTCCCAGCCGCACAGAGCCGGCCAGACCGGCAGAAGGCGCTGCCTGGGTACGGATGCGGCGCAGACGCCGCGAGGAAACCGGAACCGATGGGGTTTCGCCCGCGCATCTTCAGGTGACTCCCGGAGGCCCAGTCTGCAGGCTGGACGGCTGGAGAAGGTCTGATTGTCCTCCTTTAACCAAAGAACGGCCGGGCGCTGTGGGCCGGGCTGCTGCGGGTGTGGATGGAGCCGGGGGCTGAGCGGTGGTTTCTGTGGGGACCGCTGCCGGCTCTGTGGTCCTCGACTCCGCCGCAGCCTGCTGGTCCGGCCCTGGCCAGAGGCCCCCAGTGAGGAGCTTCTGCTGCCTTGGCTTCCGGCCAGGGCACTACAGTCGGATCGCATCCCAAAGCATGTGTGTGCGTGGCCGGTGAGGGGGGCTGCGTATAGGGCGTGTCCCTTTCTGGTCAATTCTGTGGGCCAGGAACTGATGTTTAGGGCAAGAACACTAGAAGAGGTGATATCACACGGTGGCTAAACCAGCAGATCTGTTACCACTTCTAGCTGGTCATCTTAGACAACTGATCCCACCACCCTCCTCCATCTGTCTCCTCACTGGTACAAGGATGATAATAATAGCTGCCTCCTGGAGCTACTGTGAGGCTCACCGAGTTACCGCTCTATGTAAAATGTTAAGGCAGAGTCTGGCATGGGCTCAGAACTATCTAAGGGTTCACTATTATTATTATTAAGCCCTGCTTCTGCCCCTCCTTTCCTCAAGCTCAAAGCTGGTCACAGAGCTGTCTCAGTGGTCTTCACGGCAGCGGGGTTGGGGCCATGAGCTCTCAGGGCTCCTCCACAAGCCAGTGCCGATGCCCACCCGCTTGCAGGCCCACAAGAGAATGGTCCTGATAGAGCATTCTTTTTATAGCTCAGCGAGGTTCAGGGGTCTTGCCTCCAATGATGTTGTGACCCTTGTGAACACTCAGTGCCCCTGTGTCTACTCCTCAGGGTCTGGGCGGGGTCAGGGGAGACGAGAGCCTTTGCTGAGTGGGGCGGTGAAGTCCTGTGTGTTTGGTACACCCTTGTTTCCTGCAGATGGGTTCAGCCTCTGACCATGTCCTTGAATGACTCTGCAGGTTCCTGCCTCAGCTGTGGCTCCCCAGGTCTCCTTGGTGCCTGGGTCTCCTGAAAGGGTTCTTTGCACAAGGCCATTTGGAAAAGGGGTAGCAGTTGGGGTGCCCCAGCAAGCATCTGACAGCGTCTCCCTGTCCTCGGGTGGATGTGGGCCCCCCTGCCTACCAGTAGCACACTGCTCCACTGCAGACCAGATTCCTAAGCTCCCAGGACATCGCCAATCTCACCAGCACTGGGCTGCTCCTCCCTGCAGAGTGTGGCAGGAGGAGCCCCGGGCTGGGAGGAGAGCGGCCTGGGGTCTGGCCTAGAACACTGCTGCTTGAGGACTGGGTGCCCTTGGGCAAGTCACCTCACCTCTCTGGTCTCAGGATCTTCATTTATCAATGGACATAATGATGGCTGTCCTGCCTGCCCCCAGAGGTTCTGGAGAGACTGTGCACTCAGGTCTTCGATGGGAAAAAGGGCTAAAAGTAGGTTGTGCTCCTACTTCCATTTCCTGTTGAGTTGTTGGGTCATCAGACGACCCTGGTCACTCCTCTGGGCAGCCGAGTGGTTGCCAAGCAGAGGCAGGGGGAGGCACAGATGAAAGACTCCCTTGATCTTGGGGGATCTCCACCCCCTCTTTTACTGGAGAAACAGAACACACATTCCTGAGGGCAGAGAATGCACAAATATAGACTTCAAAGAACCCAAAACATGGTTTTAAATATCCATCTATAAACACACAAAACTTTCCAAACTAACAACAGCTGGAAGTTCAAGTGCTCCAGGATTCTAAATTCATCAAACTCGGGGGAAGTCAAGGGAGGCTTCCTGGAAGAGGAAACAATTTTGTTTGTTTGTTTTAAGGAACAGAGTACAGAGCAAAGGGTAGTGGGTGATGGTGATGGAGCTCCAGGCCAAGATAACCACGTTTATAATCATTTTAAGGTAGGAGAGATTTGGTAGTGGCGCCAGTATTCTTGCCTGGAGAAATCCATGGACATAGGAGCCTGGTGGGCTACAGTCCATGGGGTCGCAAAGAATTGGACACAACTGAGTGACTAACACTTTCACTTTCCTGGAATATAGAGATACTGCAAGAATGAATGATGTTAAAAGAATGGAGAGCAAGTCTCCTTGGTGGGACTGTCAAGTCGGAACAGGAGTTTAGATGGGAGGGTGGATGACTGGGTAGTCTTGTCAAGGCAGATCCCTCCTAGGGTCCAACTCAACATGGCCCATTGTCTTAGGTGAGTTTTCCAAGTGAAAAAGATTCTGAGACAGAACTTTGCATGCAAGATTATTGGGAAGGGCACTTGGTATCAGCACTTCTGAGGCTTTGGGCTAAGGGGGAGGCTGAACTGTGATCAGTTGTACAGAGATCTCAGCTGATCTCATGGGGAGCTCTGGACCTTTCCAAGAGATTCCTGTTTGAGGCTGGGGAGCCAAAATCTCTATGTCCCTCCATCAGTCACTGGATGCAGGCTGCCCTGGGGTATAAGCTTAGGGGATGCAGGTCCCTTCCTCAGAGGGCAGTGCTGAACAGAGACTCAGCTCTGAGCTGTCATCCACTGTGGGAATGAGTGTCTCTATCATGCAGGGGAGGTCTGGTGATATACCACGACACCCCTGTTACCCATCATGATGGGGGCAGGAAGGGAACCCCGCAGTGTCTGATGCCCCCGACTGGGCTCCAAGACCAAGGTTAGCACCTCAGATTTGTTTGAGGCAGGTTGATTTGGTTCCTTTTTCTAACTGCCCCTTTTATAGAATGTTAAAGTTAGAAGTGAATTTTGAGGCCATTGGATACAATAATCTCCACCCTGGGTGAAGGATACACTTCAGAATCATCCAGAGGCTTCTGCAAACTGTCCTCAGGAGATTCTGATGTGCTCTGATCCTGTCACTGCTCTAAGACTGGACTATAAGCTCAGTGAGGCTGGGGCTCTCTGTCTTGCACAGTGGCTGAAACCCTGGGTCCCAACACAGCGCATGACTGTGACACTGCCTCCTTGTCAGTCTCCTCTTTTGCCACTCCTTCATTTGTCTCCTATGCTTCAGTCACTGTGCCCTTGCCTTTGCACAGACTCTTCCCTTTGTCAGGACACCCCTCCCCCTGGAGTAGGTGTCCCCCTTCTGACCAGGTGCGGTAATTTAAGCACTGGGCTCAGAGCAGTGCCAGATGTGGTGAGCCCTGTGGAGAGGCTAGTATTGCTGTCACCTGATTCTCCATTGGCATGCTTTGCTCATCACTGTTCCAAATGTACCAACTTTTTGTTTCAGTGGTTTGTCCTCAGCAACACACTAGCCTTGGGTAAGCAGGCACCACATTCTTTATCATTGTATCCACAGAAGCTAGTACAGTGTCTGGCACAGAATAGGTGCTTAATAAACACATGTGGGATGAGTGGAAGAAGTAGGTTCTAGGGGATACAATTTGAGAAAGTCGACTTTGAAGTCTTTTAATAAGGGGTCTAGTTGAGTGAGAGTAATGGACACTAGCCAGGTGTGGCCTCATTATTAACCTACTGAATAAGCTCTGAATTTTGGGCGAATAACTTAGTACATGGATGGATGGAGTGTGGGCCGGACAGGTAGATGGGTAAACGGATAGATGGTGAAGAGCTATTAATGGATGGATGACTGGATGGATAGAAGGATAGATGGATGTTACCCTGTGTGTAGGAAGGCCAGGGTTTGAAGAGTCCAGGAGAAGGGAGGATGGGTAGGAGAGTGCTTTTGATTGCACACAGGCCAAGTCAGCCAAATTTGAATCAGGGTGGGGGAGTCTGATATTGCTCAGGTAAGGTGTGGGAAAGAGCTGCTCCTGTGTGTTTATACCTGCAGGGAAGGCACTGGTCGGGGGTGGGGGGCATGACTCATTCTGACACATCTGTGAGATCAGTTTAAAGGCAGGCAGAATTGAGGAGCTTCTAGTTGCTGAGTCAGGGGTGGAGATGGGCTCTTGGGGTGTGGGCTTAACTGGAGGAGGTCTGGGGTCTTAGAGCCAGGGCCAATGGCCTCTGTCCCTCAAAGGTGGTGGCAGAGAATTCCCAAAGGAAGAGAATCGAGGCAAGCGAGAACCCCCTGTATGAGATGGTGGAGGGTCTGTGACCCCAGCGAGTGTGGCTGACACAGATCTGTGCTCGGTTTCAGGGAATACTTGTTCCGGAAAGGCTTGTGTCTTCTATCGGTTAGGTAAGCAGGCAGTCCAGCTGCCCATCCAATTAGCTGGACAGTCAGTCTAGCATGCAGAAATTGTCTGTCCAACAGTCACCTGGAGAGGGCATTGAGTCGGCAGGTAGGAGCGTGTTCGGTGTGCATCTTGCAGGCTGACATGAGTACTAGGTGCTGTGGGCAGAGGGAGTCAGAAAGGGAAGAGAGCTACCAGGTCTCTGCTCTGGTGAGCCTCTGGTTCTTAATAGGGCCGAACGTCATCCTTAGAGACCATTGGAAATGTACCTGGGGGTTGAGTGTAAAAGAACCTTGAGGGTAGGTGCTGCATAAGGAAGAGCCGGGGAGGCCAAGTATCCTGCAATGAAGGATGATCCTACAAAACCAAGGATGATCTCAGTCCAAAAGCCAGCAGGGTCCCCTTTGAGAAATACTGTGTCCAGTCTGTGAAATGAAAATATCTCCTGCCATATCAATAAACAAGAAATGTCACAGTCATCAGCAATTTCTGGCTTCCAAATATGAATGAGGGCTCCCAAAACTGTTAAACAGTGGATGCTGTCACCGCCCACCCTCCACGGTGATTGCAGAAGAGCTAGGGGAATGCAAGAAATAGCCATCTGCCACTCCTTAAGGTGAACAAGGAAACAGGATTGGCCAGAGGTAGCTGAGGTGTATATAAAAGGAATGAATTCAGTGACCCCAGAGGCTTGCATCTTCCCATACAAAGAATGCTAAATTCTTTAACTTGATACCTGATCTTTGCTGTTCAGACCCTCTGCTCCCTTTGTTGCAAACTTGTATACAGCTTGACTTCCCTCCTGCCTCCTTGAAGCAGTTTTCTCAGAGCTACTGAGATGCTGTCTCCTGGGTTCGGAGTCCTAAACATTCCCACCAAATAAAATAACTCTTTACTTTCAGGTTGTATGTATTTTTTTTTCAGTACAGACATCGAATGAAACATTTTATACAAATGATTTGCATGGTTTTTCTGCAACCCCGCACCTTCTACACACCCAGCCCTCTAGTGACCTCTTCTCTCCTCTGGAAGATGCTGTGGTTGCTAACTTGGAAAGTTCTCAGAGTGCCATGAGCTGTGGAGAGGGAGGTGGCAAGCAAGTGAGAAGCAGAAACACCATCTGCCTATGGGTCTGGCTTCCTAGTCAGGGGGCGGTTGGACCACAAGGCCGGAGGGGGTGGGCTTCTGGGAAGTACATGGGGGGTGGGGGTCCTTCCCTGTCTACAATGCTCAAGGCCTCCAGAGCCTACCAGCAGAAACCAGAGGCCTGCAGGAGCTGGGTGAGTGCCCCAGCTGAGTGAGGAGAGAGGGCAGTGACCCAGATGCTGCCTGTTCACTGTGGGTTCCAGAGACATACCACCCCCATCCCACCTTGGTCTCTTCCCTCACCTCAGGACTGGGCTGTCTTGTGCAGGCGGCCAGGCCGGGAGGGAGCCTGGCAGGAGGCTGCCTCTTCCAACACCACACATCCTGGAAGGACAAATGTGAAAATATAAAAAGCCTCTGGTCTTGAGGCTGGATCACACGGATCACACGGCTGGGTGGCCTGTCAGCCTGGCTGTCAGGTTTTTACCGTCTGAGAAGGTTGAGGTGCTGACTGCAGCCAAGACTCAGGGGAGAAATGGGCTTGGTAAGAATGATACCTCAATCTGCAGAGTTCATCCTCACGTGCTTTCTGGGATATGCCTGCCAACACCAGAGGGTAGGCCAGGTTTTATTTTCACATCCATTTCTCAGATGGGAAAACTGAGCCTTGGGTCCATGGCTGGCTAGTGGTGCTGTGACTCAGACCCATGTCTGCTGAGTCTTGGCTCCTAGATGGTGGGATCCAGCTCTTTCCTTGGCGAGGAGCTGGAGTAGGGAGTGGTCACCCAGAGGCCTTTTTCCTAGGGCAAGTTCTGCAGAGGTTGTGCTGCAGCCTAGCAGAGATGCTGTGTGAACAAAAGAGGTCTGCCCTTCGGGGCCACTCCACGGGCTGGATTTGGTGCCCTGCAGGACTGGGAACTTTTCATACTGTGGTGCTGGAGAAGACTCTTGAGAGTCCCTTGGATTGCAAAGAGATCAAACCAGTCAATCATAAAAGAAATCAACCCTTAATGTTCAATTGGAAGGACTTATACCGAAGCTGAAGCTCCAATATGCTGGCCACCTGATTCAGAGTCAATCCTTTGGAAAAGATCCTGATACTGGGAAAGATTAAAGGCAAAAAAAGAAGTGGGCAGCAGAGGATGTGATGGTTAGGTAGGGTCCCCGACTCAATGGACATGAATTTGAACAAACTTCAGGAGATGATGGAGGACAAAGGAGCCTGGCGTGCTGTAGTCCATGGGGTCTCAAAGAGTCGGACATGACTTAGTGACTGAACAATAAGACTCGGGACCACAGTGACAGTCATCTCAGAGGGGACATTGGACCTCCATAGTGACAGGCAGCTTGCAGGGTATTTGGTAAAGTCTCGGCAGGCCACATCCTTGGTGTCTGGGTGGCAGCCAGTGAGGGAGAAGGGGTGGCTTGGCTGGGCTTGGTAAAGCTGGGTCTGGGCTGTTGGGCTCCTCACTGAGTATCTGCTCACCACTCCCTCCCTGATGCCGGGCACCCCAGGGAGCCAGGACAGGGGCCACACTTCTCAGGCCACTTGGGGTTCCCCCGACAGTCAGAAGCCTCTTCCTCTGGCTTCCTCAAGAGCTCTGCTTAATGCCCATAGATTGCCTTGGGGCTCCCCTGGGTCTCTGCTCGGCCCAGTAGCCCGGGCCAGGATGAGAGTGAGCTGTCAATAATTCATGTTCTACTCCCACTCACTTCCCCTGCTTGGCTGCCTGTAAATATATCACAGGTTTCAGAGGGCAGAGCTGGCCCCGCAGAGACTCCCAGGACGGGGCTTGAGGAAGCCACACCCTTTCCCAGAGGCTCCTGACCACGCTCCGGGCAGGAGAGGAGCCTGGCCTGAAGCTTTGGGGGGATGGAGGGGCTGCCCAGAGATACTGACCAGACTGGCCGTGCTGTGGCTGGTGGGGATGCGGTGCTGGGGCACGCCCTTCATGGACCCACACCCCCGCTACAGACAGGTCCTAAGGAGGGCTGCCTGGCAGGGCAACCCTGGGTCCAGCCCTGGAGGCTGTCTTCAACTCCACTTTCTCCCTGGACTCCCACATCTTTCGGGGTTTAGCCCTTCCTCACCCTGTGCCCTGTGTGTCACTTCAGGGACTGTCGGCCCAGTCGCTCTGGTCACGCCCATCCGCCCTGTGACCACGCCCATCCGCTCTGTGATCACGCCCATCCACTCTGTGATCACGCCCATCCACCCTGTGACCACGCCCAGTCGCTCTGTGACCACTCCCAGCCAGAGTCTGAAACAGAAATCAGACCCTGCCAGTCCCTTGTTTCAGGACCTCCCCAGGCTCCAGGTGGCCCTCACGGAGGAATCCACTTTTCCTAACAGGCAGAGCCGGTACACCAGAAGTTAGATCCCACTTCTCGGCCCTTCAGCCTGCTCTCTCTGCTCTGGTTCAGTTGGGCCTCACTGTTCCCACACCTCCTGCTCTCTCCCACCTTCTAGCTGGTACTAGCATCCCTCTGCCAGGGTGATAGGGGACCAATCTCATGGCTTCATGTGTCTCCAAATTGGTCCTGAGGGTCGCTCTACTGTTCTGGGGCGAAAACTATCCTCCTTTGTAACATTGAGGGGGGCCCAAGGTAGTCCTGGGGCCAATTTCCAGCTCTGCCAATTGCTTGTCTCTAGCTGTGACTTGTGTCATATTCTGAACCTTGATGTGTGGATCTATAAAATGGGGAAAGTAACACCTGCCCCAGAGAATAGTTGTGAGGCTTGGAGATAAGGTTTAGAAAGCACACAGCCCAGTTCATGCATGGGACTGGACTCTGGTCAGGCTAGTTGCATTGTTAATCTGCCATCTGGGGACAGCACACAGCAGGGTTTCTCTCAGGGAGGGAGAAAAACAGGCTACCTGTTCTGTGGACAGGAACCAAGGAAATAGCAGAGGGCCAGTGGTCCTGAGAGCTCTCTGAGGGGTCTCATGGTAGGTAGTATATCTGGGAGACCTCAGGGAAAGTGAAGGAAAGAGGAGAATCCAAGATAAAGGGCACTACGGCAGGGAAATGGGGCTGGGCCTCACCGAGACCATCCGGGGAGACCATAAGATGTGTCTCACAGCTGTCCACCCGACCGTGTGCGTTTATCCACTGGCTCTTCTGTCCCATTGGTTGAGTGTTGCCTCTAAGGGCATTGGTTTCCTGAGCCTATGGACTCCACAGGCATGTGTGCTGAACAAGGTCCCACTGGTGTCCACAATGGCATGGAAACCCCGGGGCAGAGAGGGGAAGACTTATGGAGAGTACTGGAGGTAAGTCCAAGGCCACGGAAACAGAGGAGGGGGCAGCAGGAGGCCAGGGTACTTACCGTGGGAAGGAGGTTGAGGAGGTGGACATACGGTTGGGAGTCGGGGGGTGGGGCATACTGTGACCTGCTCTCTGCCCTTTTCCCATCCCATCCCATCCCACTCCATTCCATTTACCAACAATAGTTTATTGATCACCAACTAGGTGCTACAAAGCAACCAGATCCATCTAAACAATCAGTTCCTCTTCTGCTTCTACCATGGGCTTGGAGGTAACTTGGAGCCCAATCAGCACCTGAGGCAGATCTGACAGGTGGGTGGCCCTCTCTTCAGGTTGTGGGGAGCAGTGGGGTGAGGTCTCCTCTCAGGTTTCTTCTTCTTGGAACTGCAGAGGCCTTCCTTCCTTCCCCCAGGGCACCTGCCTTGCTGCCGGCCTTAAAAGGACAGGCACTCCCCTGAAAAAGCTCTGTCTTCCCGACATTAGGTAGGCGTCCTTGGTAGTGACAGTGGAGGCGAGATTTAAGTCCGGTCTGCGGACTTCCCAGAGTGGATGTGTGTGGGCTCCTCCCTCACTGTCTGCATGTGTACTTAGAACTAAAAAAGGTATTTTTTTTTCTTCTCTCATTTTCTTGAAAACATCTCCAAAAAACTGGTGTGAGTAGCAATACTTGAAAATCTATCCATCCACTCATCTAGACAGAGTTTCCCTGGCCTGGGGCTTCTTCATTCTGAAATATCCAGCCTGAATTCATCATTGGAAACATCCTCAGGCCTACGTCAGCCATTCCCTTGTTTTGTGTCCCTGGATGAAGTCACAACCCTGAAGCCCAGTGTTCTCTTCTATAAGCCAGAAGCTGTTAGTCATGATCACAGTGACCTCACAGGGGTGCTAAGGGGCTGAGATGAGAGTCTGAATGTGTAAGATCTCTGCTGACAATGAAATGGTGTCCAGACAGAAGGCATCTACCTCTCTTTATCCCTTTTATCACCTTCGTTGTCCTTACCATGGTCATCCTCAGCAGCAGGGAAGAGTAACATTTCTTAGAGCAGAGTGGGCTTTGCTGATGCCCTTGGAAACCCCTGTCTGAAGTAGGCCACGCATGGGCTGTCTGGAGGAAATGGATTGAATTGATAATCAGCTTCATTAGGGGTCTGCTTCAGAGGTGGGTCCACCGGAACCTTAACCCACACTTCCGCTGGGCTCTCCGCTGTGATGGCCTGGGCCTCCCCGGCTATACATAGCTTGGTGATGTGAAAGGCGTAGAGGCAGGAACTTCAAAGGAAGCTGCAGCTAATGAAAAATTCAAGCTAATTGTTCGTTAAAAAGCCCTGTCTGCTTTGGATGGGATCCTCTAGGCCAGGGAGGGTGATGTGTGGCGGACTGTGGCTACCGTCAGCTTGTCAGGAGGACCCAAGAGCAGGGGCTGGAGAGGATGGGGAGCTTCCTGGGCAGGCAGCCAAGGGCTGCATCTCTGGTGTCTGCATTCGGGGGAGGGGGAGGCTTCACGGAAGCTCTGGCTTCCATTGTGCTAAAGCACAATGCCTCTGCCTAAACAGCTATGTCTGTGTGGCTGGCGGGTGCCTCGTGTGTGTGCTGAGAGGTGTGCAGAGGAAGAGGGAAGATAGAGAAGTATCCTGTTAAGTCTCCAGGATAAGTCAAGACCCACTGGGGATGGGCCAGTGATTGGAGAAACACTTTCTGCCACTCTGGTATAAAGAGTGCCCATTCTCTGGGCAGTGGACTTTGCCTGAGGTGTGCCTGCTCTGAGGCAGGGGAAACAAGAAATGTGTTTGGTAGTGAAGGTAACTAGGGAGGAGTTAACTCAAGGATATTGGTCCTTGCTGAGGCCCCCTGGCTGGGATAATGTGAGCACCGAGTTAGAATTATGTGACAGGCATAGCCGAGATGAGCGGGGGCGGCCAGGATGTGGGGGCGGGGGGTGTGGGGGGGGAGGGCTGCTCGTTGGGTGGATCCTGGGAGCAGTCCCAGAGGCACGATGGAGAGTGGGGAGATTAGCTCAGACTACTTGATAAACGGATTGAGGTTGCAAGAAGTGGCCGCAAGGATCAGCTCGAAAGTTGAAAGCAGAGAAGACAGAGGCATGTGGGGGGATGCCTGTGGGTCTGGAGAGGTGAGATGGCAGCATGGAATTTGAGATTCCAGAGGTCATGCGGAGAGCAGTTCCAGCCCTAAAAAGGCACTTGAGGTATAGTGAGGAAGGGCTACACTTTCTCAGGCCAAGGCTAAATGGAAAGCTGGTCTCCCTGATGGTGTTTCCCAGAGTCAAAGCTCATTAAGGGGGCATGTTTGTTGTTGTTTTTCAGTCTCCCAGTCATGTCCAGGTCTTTGTGACCCCATGGACAGCAGCACACCAGGCCTCTCTGTCCCTCACCATCTCCCAGAGTTTGCCCAAGTTCATGTCCATTGCATCAGTGATGCCATCCAGCCATCTCATCCTCTGATGCCCGCTTTTCCTTCTGCCCTCAATCTTTCTCAGCATCAGGAACTTTTCGAGTGAGTCAGCTGTTCATGTCAGATGACCAAAATACTGGAGTTTCAGCTTCAGCATCAGTCCTTCCAAGGAGTATTCAGGGTTGATTTTCCTTAAGACTGACTGGTTTGATCTCCTTGGGGGCTTACTTTTCGGTAAAACTCTGTCAAGCCGGTTTTCATCTATTTGCCTGACACTGACTTCTCTTGTTGAGTATAATCTGTACCCTCAGATTTCCTCACTGTAGAGAAAAATATTTTTCAACTTGGCAAGTAGAAATGGCATGAAGCCTGGAGGCACAGAGGTTGGAGTCCAAATCCTGACTATAAACTGTGTCCCTGACACCTTGGAACTGATCTTTGGTGACGTCACCTTTCAAATCTGGGTTTTCTCATTGGTAAGATGTGGGCAAGCAGTAGTGCCCACCTTGGGACTGTGGTGTGGCCTGAATGAAACAAAAGTTCCTGTGTGATATCTGGCATGTAAGTACATGCTCATACCCTGTGATGAACGGATAGCTTTCTGAATCTGGCATCTTCTAACGGTGCAGAGGAAAAATTCTCATCCCTCCGGTGAAGGTAATAAAAATGCCAAGGATTCTGGGAGACCTTCTCTTTGAGGTGGCCTGAAATTTTGCAACGTTTCTTCACTTGAAATGTTTACAGCCTGGGTTTTGCCAGCAAAGGCTGTGGAGCTGGCCTTCCTACAGGAGGATCCCAGAGGCAGGGAGACCTGGTTAGATGCAGAGACGGGAACCTGTCCTGTGGGGAGGGGAGGGATGAAAAGTGGGAGGAGGTGGAGGTGGGACACTTCTGTATGAAAGTCTGTAGTGGTCACTCTTCTGTGTGGTTTCTGAGGATTGATCAAGTGGAAACAGGGCTAGGTTCAAGCGCCATGGAGGCTAAGGGTGGACTCAGAAGAAAATTCCTAATGAGTTGGTTGTCTCATTTCCATCCTGGGAGATTATTCCTAAAATTGAGGCGATTCTTGATAGTCTGGTTCAGGAGAACACACAGCCATGAAGACCTCTCCTTTGTTCTATTTTATTGCTTTCTAAAATAAACAGGGGGGCTTCCCAGGTGACGCAGTGGTAGAAATCTGCCTTCCAGTACAGAAGATGAAAGAGGCGTGTGTTTGATCCCTGGGTCTGGAAGATCCCCTGGAGAAGGAAATGTCAATCCACTCCAGTAGCTCAGTCAGTAAAGAATCTGCCTGCAGTACAGGACACCCAGGTTCAATTCCAGGGTCAGGAAGATCTTCCAGAGAAGGAAATGGCAACCCCTTCAGTATTCTTGCCTGGAGAATCCCATGGACAGAGGAGCCCGGCAGGCTACAGTCCATGGGGTTGCAAGAGTCAGACATGACTTAGTGACTAAACCACCACCACCAAAATAAACAGTTCATAGAGGAATACAGTTTTGCAAAAGATTTCAAACAATACATTAGTAAATAAAGTAAATGGTGAACATGCTCTTGGTTCCCAAGCTACCTCTTTCATTCCTGCTTCCTTCCAGAGGGATGCCATTGGTCACAGTTTAATGTGTGTTCTTTCAGAATCTTGCCCATACATTTATATGTATATGTTGTTTTTTAGTTGCTAAGTCGTGTCTGACTCTTTGCGACCCCGTGGACTATAGCCTGCCAGGTTCCTCTGCCCATGTTTAAAACAGATATAAAGCTTTTAAGCATGATATTTGTATTGTTCTGTAACATATTTTTCTATGAAATATGTTTGAAGATCTTCCCATGTTTTACATATAGATTGGCCTTAATTAAAAAAACACCTTCAAAGTATTCCATAATATGAATTATAATTTTAAACAACTTTTCATGAATATTTGGTGTGTATTCTAATTATATATGAAGTGGAGCATCATAAAAATTATTAATTCACCATTTAAATTTATTTTTTTTTGCTGAATTGCCTATTCATAAATTTTGCTCACTTTTATTTACATTGGGTGTTTGGTATTTTATAATTGATTTTAGGGTATTACCTAAAGTATAGACATTAATATTTTTTGTGTTATGTATATTGCAAATACTTTCTCCCATCCTCTCATTTCTTTTCTTGGTTTATAAGTCTTGCACAAATTTGTAAGTAATTATATCTGTCAGCTATGTTCTTTATGGCTTTCCAGTATTATGTTTTGTTTAGGAAGCCCTTTCTCAGCCCAAGATTAAATTATTTTGTATTATCATGTAATGTTTTAGCTTCTCTGGTGGTTCAGAGGGTAAAGAATCCTCCTGCAATGCAGGAGACCCGGGTTCAATCCCTGGGTTGGGAAGATCCCCTGGAGAAGAAAACGGCTACCTACTCTTAAAGTAGTGCTTCACTTTGGACATTTTGAAATACCTGGAATTAATTTTGGCCAGTGGTGTGAATATGTTATTTATTTGTTGTTAGAGCATGTTAAGGTTGGACATGTTGGACAAAGGCAAATACTGGCCAATATAATTCCAAACAACAAAGAAATGTTTAGCTTTGAAATTGTGTGATTATATGTTTAAATTTTAGAAGGCCAGTTTTTAAAAATTTCAAAATATTTGTTATAATAAATTTAAACAATGCAGAAATATATAATGTAAAAAACACAATGCCTCAAGCTTCCCCATCCAATCCTCCTTTGAATGAATTGAATTTTTTATGACAAACTTATCTTATAAAAGTAGGACATATATTTGTCAGCTATTTAAATTTCTTCTTCTATGAATTACCTCTTTGTATCCTTTATCTATTCTTTTCTTCTATTGGGTTATCTTTTTCTTATTGGTTCGTAGGCAATCTTTTTATATAAAGACATAAACTGTTTGATTATTATACATGTTCCCAGTATTTTGGAAGTTCCAGTCTGTGATGATTACCTATTAAATCACAACATTTATAATCAATTTTTTCTCCATTCATTAATTTATTGATTTATTTTTGAGGAGCTGAACAATATAATGAGAAAGATGATGAAACTAGGAATAAAAAGATATAGGTATGTGACTTGGCACATCCACAAATTAACTTTTAGTGTAAGTCACTTAAGGTCTCTGTGCCATCACTGTTCCTGTCTGCAGGAGGAAGATATTGTGCCAAGCTCTAGGATCTCTGAATTTTATAGTTTTTATTATTCAGCTGCTGTGTTTGCAATGGCCTTATTTTTTGGACAAGGATAGGCAGATTCACATCCTGAATATTTTGTGCTCAAGTTCATGTTAGTGATTCTGATTCCCTAGCAGCTATGCTGACCTGAGAACTGGGAAGGTGAGGAGCAGCTGGAGAGCAGACAGGCAGACAGCTCAGCCCCCAGAGATGACACAGAAGGGAGAGAGAAGCAGGAGATGGGAGACCTGATACCTTAGACAAGTCACTTTTCCCGTCTTAGCCCCAGATGTTGATCTGGAAAGTGGGGTCGAGGATGATGAGTGACTGGGGGTCTCTGAGCTTCCTGCCATCTCTGCTGTCTTGTGGTGGGTCAAGGAAGTGGCAGGTGGTGCTCCTGTGGCTGCTGGGCCGGCAGCTTCACCACTTCCCCTCCCGCCTCCCTCTCCCTCCCTAGGGCACTGTGCCCGCAGCTTCTGTGTTAGGCATAGGTCTGATCTGCAGTTAGTGCCGCATCTGTCTGGGCAACCTGAGAACAAGACTTCTCAACAACTTTTTCAAAACTTTAATAAAAATTCTAATCTCCCCACACCCTGTTAATTATTGTATATGCTCATTGTAGAAAAAAAGAAGTTCATAAAATAGGTAAAGCATCCTCATGTTTGGAGACATCTACTCTTAGCATTTTGCCACTGTTCCTTCTAGTCTCTATATGTGTTTTTTTCCTTATATATTGTGTACACAATTTTGTATCCTGAATTTTTCACTTGTAGCGTAATTTTTTGTTTCATTAGACATTCTCCATAAGCATCATTTATAATCACTAAATATCAGTGGGGTGGGACATTTTATTTTTTAAAAATGTCTTCATATGTATGTGAGCTTTTTGTCCCCAAAACAACACTGGAGAAGAGACGGTGTGGTTATGTCTATTGCGGAGAAGGACAGTGAAGCTCAAGGCAGTTACTACAATTTGCCCAGGTCACAGAGCTGGTCAGCTGCAAGGTGGAGCAACTCTGTAGCTGCCATCTGCATTGGGCATTTACAGTTCACTGTGTTTTCACACTTATTCACTTCTTCCCAATTCTGTAAGGAATGTGACCAGGGATTACCATTCCCTTTACTGACTGCTGGGAGAATTGAGTGACCCCCCTTGAGGACACAGAACATCAGTGGAAGGACCAGGACCGGTCCCTGCTTTCTGGACTCCAGATTTAGTGTTTGTGCATTCTCGGGGTGAGGACTCTTTCCACTGAAGTCCCAGTGCAACAGGAAATTTGACTGATGCTGGTTGGCAGCAAGATTTCAGAAATGAGAGGTCAGGGTTGTTGTTGGAAAGAATGCCAATCCTCTAATCAATCCAGACATCATTTATTTATAATGATAGAGGCTTGAAGAAGGTGCACGTCAGCAAAGTGGAGGATGGGGAGGAAGCAGCAGAACTCATCTCAGAAGGAGCTGAGTGTGTCCGGCTGCAGGGAGGGCTGGGCACGGGGAGGCTGGGAGGGGCGGGGATGTGTGCACACAACTGGTGGGAGGACCCAGCCTGGCACCTCCCCTGAGCCAACAGGATAGGCCTTGGGGAGTGCTCCTTCCTCTGCCCTTTTGTATTAGATTCTTTAAAAGAAATGTGCTTTAGCCACCTCGCTCCTTTCTCTCCACGCCCTTGACTCCTCTGGACAGAAATAACCTGAAAGAAACTGCTCTGTTGGCCAGAACAAATGATGGTTTTGGTGTTTCCTCAGAAAGCGCTGGTCTCAGCTTGATTTTCCAGAGCTGACCTGTCATTCTGGTTTTCCCTCAGCACTGAGACTGCTCAGTTCCCTGGCCTGGGCCCTCAGGAATGGGGACTGTGAAAGGTTGTCCCCTCCTAGCCCATTCACTGATCTCAGAACAGCAGCTGGGCCTCAGGAGGAGGTGGGAGGGGAGCACTGCCCTGGGGGCAGTCAGGGAGCCTGGGTTTCTGTCCAGCTCAGCCCTGCACACTGAGTGTCCTGGGACTCTCTTCTCTGACAGGCCCTCAGTTTCCTTTTCATACTGTTCATGCGTTCTCAAGGCAAGAATGCTGAAGTGGTTTGCCATTCCCTTCTCCAGTGGACCATGTTTTGTCAGAACTCCCCATCATGACTCTTCCATCTTGGGTGGCCCTATACAGCATGGCTCATAGTTTCATTAAATTACACAAAGCTGGAATCATGTGACCATTTTGGTTAGTTTTCTGTGATTGTGATTTTCATTCTGCCTGCCTCTGATAGATGAGGACAAGAGATCTGTGCAAGTTTCTGATGGAGTTGGACCATAAAGAAGGCTGAGTGCCAAGGAATTGATGCTTTTGAACTGTGATGCTGGAGAAGACTCTTGAAAGTCCCTTGGACTGCAAGGAGATCAACCAGTCAGTCCTAAATCATCCCTGAATATTCATTGGGAGGACTGATGCTGAAGCTGGAGCTTCAAATCTTTGGCCACCTGATGGGAAATATTGACAACAAGGAGAGAAGGGGGTGACAGAGGATGAGATGATTGGATGGCACCACTGACTCAATGGACATGAATTTGAGCAAACTCCGGGAGATAGTGAAGAACAGGGAAGCCTGGTGTGCTGTCAGAAATGTCAGAAATGACTGGGTGGCTGAACAACAGTTTCTTTATGTAGAAAACGAGGGGTTTGGAGTAGATGGTTTTTAGGGCCTGTGTTGGCTCGGGTTCCTTTATTCACCTGGAGATAGTACAGCTTATAGGACAAGCATGTGGATTCTGGAGCCTGGGCTTGCATCCCACTCCATCATGAGCTATCTGTCCATTGACTCATTTGGAGCAAGTCACTTAACCTCTCCTGCCTCTCTTTCCCCACCTATGCAATGGGACCGTCTTTTCCTCACTACATTGTTAAGTGGGTGAATTTGGTGAAACTTATGGAAGAGTCAGAGTAGGCAATGGCAACCCACTCCAGTACTCTTGCCTGGAGAATCCCATGGACGGAGGAGCCTGGTAGGCTACAGTCCATCGGGTCGCTAAGAGTCGGACATGACTGAGCAATTTCACTTGCACTTTTCACTTTCATGCACTGGAGAAGGAAATGGCAACCCACTCCAGTATTCTTGCCTGGAGAATCCCAGGGACAGAGGAGCCTGTTGGGCTACTGTCTCATGGGGTGACACAGAGTTGGACACAACTGACGTGATTTAGCAGCAGCAGCAGCAGCATGGACGAGTAAGTGCTTTTAAATGTCTTAAGTAAATATATTTTACTGTTAAGTTTGAGGGAAGATCAGAGTGGGTCCTGGATTGCCCTGCTCTCTCGGACAAGGCGCACAGCTCGTGGTGTGTGCGCAGCCGGAGTTCAGGATTGTTTCTTCCTGTCTGAGTACAGCTGAGACTCTGTAGAGCATCGTCACGTCACCCGGGAGCATCAGGATTGATCAGAGGATCTGCACAGCCAGCTCTCTTCCCAGAAAATAATGCCAGTAACTATTTTAGATGCTTTCAAAGAGCCTGCGTCCTACATGTTTTGGTTGAATCCTCTCTCAGCCCTGGAAGGCACTTGGCGGTGATCACCCTGAGCTCATGGATAAAAGCAGAGGCTCGCAGGAGTGCATGGCTCGGGATGGTGGTGTGGGACCCAGCTTGCCTTGTCTGCTTCTGTGACACAGGTCTGGAGCTGAGACCTTCTGTCCTGTGAGGGACCTGTGCTTGAGATCACCCTGCGGAGTGCAAAGGAGCTGAGGCTGGGAGGAGGACTGACTGTGTGCCAGGCCAAAGGTCTTGGGTGCCCTTAAAAGCTGATTCTTACCACATAGAAAAGGTATAGACTTGTCATGCTTTTAAAATGCACTTCCCTTTTGTTGAACGTTTGGGCTATTTTCCATTTTAAGATATTATGATATACCTATTAACCTAGTAGGAAATAATCATTTTAGAACTTGAGAAGCAGTTTCATGTATATTGCTGACCACTCCTTAAGTTGGTCCAGTTTTTCAAAAGAAGAATCTAGTAATATTTAAGAATTATAAAATTCTTTCTACCCTTTGACCTGATAATTCCTCTTCTGAGAATATACTCCAAGGAAATAGCCTCAAAGAGAAAAAAGAAAGTAATTTGTACTTGCTTGCTCTTGGAAATGCTATTTATAAAAATTGGAAGCAACCCAAATGCCTAGCCATCAGGGTTTGGCTTAAAACCCATGGTATATTTACATTCTAAAATATGATAGAGCTGTTTAAACTGACAAATATGGGAACTATGTCAAGGCCTGGACAAATATGTACATACAAAATAATGATAAGTGGAAAAAAAAGAAGTAGTATTTTTTTTTTATGACAATTACGCAAAACATAGGCCAATATTTGCCATGAATTGACAAAGATTAGATGCAAGTAGGCTTCAATTTTAATAGTTACCAGATAGTTTAAACTTATAGTAAAAATAAAATGACTTCTTTCATACATGTAGATGAATAGAACCAACGACATAATTTGCAGGGCTCATTGCTTAAAGAAAATGTGGGGTACCTTTTGAAAAATTAAGACTTTCGCAGGGAACTCTGCTCAATCTTCTATAACAGCCTAAATGGGGAAAGGAATCTGAAAAAGAATAGATGCATGTATATGTATAACGGAATCACTTTGCTCTACACCTGAAACTAACACAACATTGTTAATCAACTATACGCCAATATAAGATTTAAACATTCTAAAAATGTTAAATAAATAACTAAAACCACTTGGTAAAAAGGAAAAAAAAAGAATTTCAAGATGGTGACTACAGGGCTCTAAAACACACAGAGCCCTGTGTGACTGCACTGTACTGTTCACTAGGTCTCCCGTGCTGCTTCCTCACGTTTCATTCACTCGCCCACCCACGCCTTCATCAAGCATTTACTCCTTGTTCTGGGTGCAATGCTGGGTGCTGAGGAAACAGAGAGAAAAAAAACGCAGAGGCTTAGGTCCTCCCACAAAGACAAAGCGATGCCTGATCAGGAATACCTGATCCTTTAGTCCAAACTGTAACAGGTTTCAGACTAAAGGTTTAGACAGCACAGAGGGGCAGTGGGACCTGAGGCTCTTCTAGAGGAGTGGACTGACACCTGAGTCAGGAGGACGCAATGCCTTGATGAAAACGATGAAGTGTACTGTTGGTACCCAGAAAACATCTTGCTCTGAAAAGCCCAGGTGAGGATGGTGTGTTTGGAAGCAGCAAGCAGCCGCTTTGCAGAGCAATACCCCAAGATCCCTGACTCAGAGGAAAAGAATCTGCCTGCCTACGCAGGAGACACAAGAGATGCGGGTTTGATCCCTGGGTTGGGAAGATCCCGTGGAGAAGGAAATGGCAACCCACTCCAATATTCTTGCCTGGAAAACCCCCATGAACAGAGGAGACTGGCAGGCTACAAAGAGATGGCAGAGAGTGAGATATTACTGAGAAACTGAGGACACACACACACACACACACACACACACACACCAAGATCCATTAATATGAAGACAAGTCAATGAAAGCCCCTAAGTCTTTGCCTGAAGCAATGCTGCCAAGCTAGGTATTTCCCATTCTGTGATTCTTTAGCTGAACATGTTACTTTGCAGCTCGTTGTACCAGCCTACAGAATCTTTCAAGATGGACTCTGACACCTCTCCTGGCTCTGCACTGTCTCAGGCTGAATCTGCCTACTAGCCATTTCTTTATCCCAGTGGTCTGTGGGCATGCTCATCAGAGTAGAGCTCGCACCTGAGCTCGGAGCAGCTCCACGCCTGCCCTCCACTGGAGCCTTCTGTAAGGTGTCCACAGGGCTTTGTGAGAGGCTCTGTTGAATATCTTCCTGACACCAGGACATGGTGATTTTCTCGCCCGTCACAAAGGAATCTTGAAAGTTGGGCAGTGTTGTTTTTAGAAATCCCACTTGGTTTCTAGTGGGTTCTGCTTGCTGTTCTAAAAACTCACAGACAGGCTAGCTGGGGACACAAATTTCCCACCTCCCAGAAATTTCTACTTCTACCAACTCCTGAAAGCTGGCTATTGTCCATAGTGAGCTTAGACACAGAAAAACACAGAGTTCCTTTCTTCTTCCACCCTCCACCCACATGTTTGCTGGACATCTAATCCCTGGCCCAAACTTCAGCACTGCTAGATAGATGCCTGGTGCCTGGTTTGGGGAACCCTGTGTTTCCCAGCACTCAAAATTCTGTGTCCTTGACCACTGATTTCCCTCTAGGGGGCTGGTGCAAGTGCCCAGGAAAACTGGAACCAGACAATGACCAAGGGACTGTTCAACTTCTAGAATTTCCAAATACCTAGAACCTTTACTACCCAGCTGAGTTCATGCTTACTACTCAGTTTTTTAAATTAATCATATTTTTGTGGCACTTATATACAATGGAGAAGGCTTCTCTGGTGGCTCAGACGCTAAAGAATCCACCTGCAATGGAGGAGACCCAGGTGTGATCCCTGGGTCAGGAAGTCCTCCTGGAGAAGAGAATATATACCCACTCCAGTATTCTTGTCCGGAGAATTCCATGGACAGAGGAGCCTGGCAGGCTATAGTCCACGGGGTCAAAAAGAGTGGGACATGACTGAGCAACTAACATATACACACATATTTAATGGAATATTATTTAGCCATAAAAGGGAACAAAATTATGCCTTTTGCAGAGATGTGGATGGGCCTAGAGATTGTTATACAGAGTGAAGTAAGTAAGAAAGAGAAAAGCGAATAGTGTATAAAAAAGAAAGTGAAAGTGAAAGTCCTCAGTCACATCCCACTCTTTGCAACCCCATGGACTATACAGTCCATGGGATTCTCCAGGCCAGAATACTGGAGTGGGTATAGCCGTTCTCTTCTCCAGGGGATCTTCCCAACCCAGGGATCTAACCCAGGTCTCCCACATTGCAGGTAGATTGTTTACCAGCTGAGCCACCAAGGAAGCCCATATGTGGAATCTAGAAAAATGGTATAGATGAACCTATTTGCGAAACAGAAATAGAGACAGAGATGTAGAGACCAAACATATGGACCCCAAGGGGGGATGGGATGAATTGGGAAATTGGGATTGACATGTGTATACTGCTATGTATAAAACGGATAGTTAGTGAGAATGCACTGCAGAGCTCAGAGAACTCTGCTGAGTGCTCTGTGGGGACCTAAAGGGGAAAAAGTCCAAAAAAGAGGGGATATATGTATATGTATGGCTGACACAGCAGTTAAGCAACTATATCCAATAAAATTTTAAAAAGTTAATATTTTGGAGTTACATGTAAATAATTGGTAGTAAAAGAAAACATATGATTGAGGAAAAAAAAAATTACCCAATTCATATTACCCCAAAAGAGTCCTCGTAAACAATCTGGGTAACTGCTTTGGTTGTATCTCTCTGTGTGTATATTGAGAGGAGTAGATGAAAAAGCACTTAAATAAATAGGGGAGATGATTTCACTAAGACGGAATCATACTGTGCATGGCATTTTTACTGAAAATGTATTAAATTTAACTGGAATTTTTAATAGGACAGTAAGAAACTCAAGGAGATGACACAGAATTTTGAATATCAGATACATGTTTTTTCACCACAAGAAGTATTTGTTTTTAAAATTGCCTTCAAAATGAAGAGAAAATACCATAAATGTTAAAAGAGTTGAAGAAGTTTTAAACAAAACTTCAATTTGAGACACTATCTTGTGACTCTCTGCTATAAAAGATGAGGAAATTAGAACATTACTCGTTTCCTCTCACCTCTCCCACAAAATGTGTTAAAAGCATTGCTTTCATATTGTCCAAAGTAATAACACTGACTTTGTTCTATAACTGTAATTTCTACTTAATCTTAAGCTATGAACTGTGGGCTACTATGGAATGCTCACTGCTACTTGTTGGGTTTTTAAACACAAGTTTTTTCTCTGAATTATTTCGATTCACTGTTTGGTTGGCTAAACTTATTGTCAAATGGTTTTTCTGAAGAGAGCTCCTTGTATTACACCCATGATGTCTGTCTGTTGGTTGTTGTTGCTGTTGTTTGACACAATGACAAATGCCTATTTATTGTATTAAATACAAGCGTGAAATGTTAAGTAGATATCACAGAGTCCAAGGAAATGACAGTTCAGTTTCCCCAAATGTTCTGCTGGTTATCTACTGGTTTTGAAGTTGTCTATTTCTCTTTTCAGAATGTTGTAGGCATTATTTCCTTGTCTTTAGGTTGAGTGTGGCTCAGGAGAATTCGGAGGCACTTCCTCTTGGAGAGCAAATAGACTCTTCAAAGTTAACATGACCAAAACTGAACCCCCTCAACTATTCCTCCACCAAGGTTTCCTAGTACCATCACTAGAATCACTGTTCAACACCACCCAGTTGTCCAGGCCAAGTCCCTGGAGTCATCATTTCTCTCGAACCTCACTTTCAGTTCTTCAGCAAAAAAGGTGAGTCTACCTTCAAAATATATCCATAATTCTGACTGCTTATTTCTTCCACTGATTCTGTCCTCATATAAATCACCAGTATCTCCCTTGCGCTGTTGCAATCACCTAATTGACTTCTTGCTTCTAACCTTTCTTGTTCTATCCAGTTGCATTCCATTCTGTTCTGTCCTGCCTCTCCCCATCTTATCCTATCCTACTTTGTCCCTCCCACCCTATCCTATCCTACAGATAATTCATACAGTAGACAATTATCCTTTAGAATTAAATCATGCCACCTCCCCTGTTCTCAGTCCTCTAATGGTCTCCCATCAGTTTAGAATATTTCCTATAAGACCTTACAAGAGCCTTCCCAGATAACCTCTCTGCTCCTGTCTTTGCCTGTCACTCATCCACTCACTGTGTTCTAACCATCGTCTTCTTGCTGTTCCTTGAATCATCATGTGTATTCCCTCCTCAGGATTTTTGCACTTGCTATTTTTTCTTTCTGGAATGCCATACCCTCAGATAGCTCAGATGGTGGCTCAGATGGTAAAGAATTTGCCTGCAATACAGGAGACGAAGGAGATACAGGTTCGATCCCTGAGTTGGGAAGATCCCCTGGAGAAGGGAATGGC